AGGAAGCGAGGAGAAAAGCTCAGCAATATTATCAAAAGTGAAAAATTGATGAGAGCATAAAAGAGCAAAGAACGCAAAACACAATTGTAGACAGCCCTATACAATAAGATTGAAAAGGTAGTTGCAGAAAAACAATGTGACACCGACTGCAACTACAGAAAGTTTTTATAACATTTTCGAACAACGAAAAAAATGCAATTCAGACTATTTGGAAAGTGACATTTTTGTCTACCTAAAATACATTTTATATGATCTAGACAAGATATTACAAGTCACAACGTCATCTAACAACAACGGCAATAAAAATCGGAATGTTTTTATGTGAGTTTGTTTACAATTCGAGAAGGTTTTGTTTCAGTGTAATAATTGCATTGTGGTATTGAGAGTTTGCATGTATTTGTTTTTGTGGTGTTTTTTGTAGAGAACATTCGGACAGAGGGTTTTGTTCGGTTTTACTGAAGTAGTGAAGTTGTTCAGAGGTTATGTCGCATTCCGAATCGTTGCCCACACGCTCCAAAAGACGCAAACGTACATTAATTAACTGGTCGCAGGGAAAGAGAAAGAGAGAGTAGATGTCGTGATGAGATCATTTCGTTTTCTGTTGGGACATTGTCTACGAAATATCAGTTTTGTTCTCCTTTGTGCTTCCCATGTGAGAGACATTCTGCAAACCAGTTTACTCTGTGTTGCTTAAATGAAAAAATACGTTTGCCTTCGAGCAATATGCCAGAAGAAATCAAACAATTGTTTGCAGGAGATAATGACACATCAAAAAACTGTAGAAATAATATCCGTACACATAATAGTGCTCTGTCTTTTGTGTCATTTGATGTTGATATTGCATTGACTTCTGGTCATGGGCCACATGTGTTCAAAATTTTGGGAACCTCACATCACAAAATATCATCGTTATACCTTGAAGGTCCAAACAGTGCGACATAAAGGCAGTTATATATTTTAGATGTTGGAGATGCTAACACAATTAGAGTGAATAATCCTATTAATAGTTATTAAAAAAAGACAATCTAGTTTCTCAATTATGTACTATATACGTAAATACAACCCCTATATTAAGACATACAAAATAATGCATCAGGAAATTTATAAAGAAAAGGGTTTGTTATTGAAAGAAAATCGTTTACTTTTAGACCTGGTTCTGCGGTTCTACTATGAAGCACTTTCATATCCTTGCTGATACAATGTTCCAACGTGTTCTGAAGTTGCAGCTGTGTTTGAAACCTCAGATGGAGATCCATCTTCTCATATGCATTTAGCAGTGGATCCTAAAGTTGGAGGAATCCAAAAAATAGACTATAATAGTAAGCATTGTGATCCATTGTGTTATATGCTCATGTGGCGAAACTGGGTGGCACATTTCCACGAGTGCTAATAGTGTACGAAAAACAAAGGTACGTAACAATGTAACAATGAGAGAGTGTGTATCATAGAAACTTGCTGTTCGAGGATCATTGCCTGCAAGAGATTTTAATCCAGTGTTAAATAGTGGAAAGTTAACAACAGTTAATTGTTGATTACTATTGCAGAATTAAAGGGGATAGACTAAAATTTATTCCCAACCAACAAACGAAGCTGAGGGTGGACACTTATAATGTTCTTGCTGATGCATTACAAGTTTGGGCAAATGATAATTTGAGAGTAGGACGAATTGTTTTTTTACCTTCAACATTTATAGGTAGCCCACGCAATATGATGCAGAATTACCAGGATGCAATGACAATAGTGAGAAAATTTGAGAAGTCAGATATTTTCATCACTTTTACAATCCATCTTGGCCTGAAATTACCAACAGTATTCATTCATTCATTCATTCATTCGAATCTAATAGCAATAGACCAGATACACCTGTACATTTTTTTGCAAAAGTGAATAACTGATTCGTATAATTAATCAGAAGAATGTATTTGGTAGAGTACAAACATTTCTGCACTCAGTGGAGTTTCAAAAAAGAGGTTTGCCTGCTACTGTGTCTTGATATTGATTTTATAATGAGAGCAATATCTGATATTGACAAAATGTTTCTGATGAAATATCGGATGCCAATGACACAAAATTCCCCATTTTTGTTAAGACCCATATGGTACATGGTCCGTGTGGCATTTTAAATTCGTCAGAATGTATGGAAAACGTACAAAAAAGTTTCCAAAACTATTTACAGCAGAAACCACAGAAAACGTGAATAGTTACTCGCTCTATCAAATACGGAATAATGGATGGAGATGCATAAAAATTACAAGAGGCAGTAAAACTCACGTAGATAATAGTTTTATTGTGCTTTATAATTCTTTTTATAGAAATATTTTTAAGCTCATATTAAATTAGAAGTTTGAGCAATTGTTCATTGTGTAAAATATATTCATAAATATGTTTACGAAGGTCATGATTGGGCTAATATACAAACATCTTCAGAAGATGGAATTCTAATATATGACGAGGTATCACAATTTTTAAATACACGGTATGTTAGTGCATGCAAAGTTGCTTACAGAAATTTTGCATATAGTATGCATGAACAATCGCACAATGTAATTCGCTTACCTCTTGTTCACTAGCCTCAGGAACGAGTTTATTTTCCTAAAGGCGATGAATTTGAGCTTTGTTTACAGCACAGTCAAGATGCGCTGAACTTATGGCTTGGTTTATTAAAAAAAAACACCCATCCATAAGAAGTTCCTTCCCTTATCCTGAAGCACCACTTCATTATGTTTGGTATAATAGCCACAACTGTTGGAAGAAACGTTCAAAATTTGCAAAAGTTATAGGTAGAATGTATAATGTTTACCCCTCTGATTCAGAAAGATACCACTTTCCCTTGCTGTTGCTTCATGCTGTTGAGATTTTGAGGAGATGAGATCAGTCAGGAATATTGTGTATCTTGCATTTAAGAAAGCTGCGGTGCAGCGAGGTTTACTAATGGATAACTGAATGGCATCGTTGTTTGGAAGAAGCCTGTGTTTTTCAAATGCCTATTCAACTAAGACAACTTTTTGCAATTATTTGAGTATTTCAACAGCCCTGAAATGCAAATAATTTGTGATATTCATTTAAAGATTTTCTGAGTGAAGATTTAATAGAAGAAAAACACAACGCCGAAGTTGCATATCATACGACCTTGCTTGATAATGAAGCCACTATAAAATTACATGGAATGTCTCTTGCTGTTTTTAATTCACCATCCGTCAAAGAAAATCAAATTCAAAGGGCGGAAGCGGAGGCAGCCGGACGCCGAGGGTCGCGCGGGAACGCGACGCGGGACCCACCTGCCACGCCCTCCAATGGGCCCGAGCGCCACGGACACTTTCGCCCAAGTCAGTGCCGCGGCGAACAGTCTACTAGAGTAGTGAAGTGGGGTTCAATGAGTAGAATAAATGGTTATGTATAAAGTGTAAATACAGTATGCATGTTGTGTGCGTGAGAAAGAAATCATAATACTAAACGATTCAAAACAATGAACACTCCTTCACACTGTGATAAAGTAACTTTAAATACAACTAGCTGTTACTCAGCGCGTTGCTGCCGCAGAAGGAATAATTGTGGAAATATCGTTTGAAATTTGAAACACTTATCTTGTTCTTTTTCTTATTTAAGCGTTAATTAATCGCCTCTCTCTATCTTTCCCCCCTCTCTCTCCATTTCCCCCCTCTCTCTCCATTTCCCCTCTCTCTCACTTTATTTCTTTCCTTCTCTCTTTTTCCCTCTCTCTCTTTTTCTTCTCCTTTTTCTCTCTCCTCTCGTACTCTTGCTGCTTCGATCTACGGCACACGGAGACGCTCAGCAACAATGCAGTTCAGGCGTATTGGGAATTATATTTAAATGAAGCGCCGCCTTGTGTTGCAGCAACATCTAGCGGAGGCAGCGGATGTGTTCTAATATTTGCACTATATCTATATCCCACCACAAGTGCACGCAATAAGTTGGCAAAAGTTTATCGCAATCAGACGATCAACACGGCAGTACATTAAGTACGAACCAACAAACAAACATTGCTTTTTTATATATTAGATTAGGTTGGCCAAAAAACATCTTGCTACATTTTTCCTCTAGATTTTAGCTAATTTAAATAAATAATTTATAAAATCACTCACCCTTTGGTTAAGCTGCAAGGCAGTAACGTAAAGCAGTTCGCCCCGAAATGAAACAATGTATAACGTTTCCACAGGGTGTCTGTGAAGAGAAACTACTCCAAAACGCAAGAGCTGAGGAGGCGGCGCCAGGCTCAAGTGAAAAGACTACGGTCGCATTCAAGGAAATTCGGATACTCTAGTACGGTTTATTTTGTCGTGCACTTAACGTAAATCAGCTGTTGCGGTTTCATCCAACCGGGAGCTTATATATCGCTGCAGAGACGTCACTGTGGGGACGTTCATGCTCGCGATTGGATGAAACCGTGAACAGATGGTTTACATCTAGTGCACGGTTAAATAAATACTAATATAGCCCGACGAAGTATTTTTGCTAACTGAAGAGGAATTTGAATTAACATCGACAGACCAGGGCCTGATTGACATTTTGAACTTGGGCCTCTCACAACAAGAGACCAGTTCCTGTCTGGATGAGAATTCGTAAGCAAAGAGTTTCTGAATCAGCCATTTTAACTCGAAATGGAGAATCAACCAATCTCTCCCGTGTTCAGCTCCTGAAAACTCAGAATATTTTCTTTTAATTTTTTGTTTGTTCAAGAGGAACGAATCACTTTTCTGCAGGGTGGGAATGAGTTCTAGGAAAGAGAAGTCATTGGTTGATTTGTAACTTCTGAAATAATTTTCAGAGAATAAACACAAGCTTTCGGTCACCAACAGGAATTACTCCAATTAGAAGTTTCCTGCAGCGTTGGGCGTTATCGGAAGAGTGGTTTTGAAAGAGAGTTGTGCCGGAACGAGGATTCTGCTCATAAGTTTTTTATTGATTTTCTGCATAACGAAGCATAAATCCGCCCAAGTTCTATTAAAAGCCCTTGTAACAAGACTGGGGCAGCAACTCACGTGAATGTTCGGTAACACTAGCACATGAATAATGTTGACCGTCCCATTCCATCGTAAGCTATTCGTGTAAGCGGCGTTTTGTATTGAATAGAACAACGATGGTAATACTCTCTCAAAAACTGCCCTTACAAAAGGCCGTGAAAATCTTGCCTTAAAATTAAACGTCTTCAAACAAATTAACAGTATCTCAAAAAGCAACGAAAAAACTGAGAATTTTCAAAAGAAAAAAATATTTGTGAAATAGATACTATAGTTTTCAGATAACTGATAAATTCACTTCGGTCTTTATCACTGAATTTTTAAGGTAACATATTTGGTTCACTGTTTTTCACAGTGATAAACATGTAATATTTATTCAGTTCTTCATGAATATATATATATATATATATATATATATATATATATATATATAATATAATACGAATTATATATAGATGAGAGAGAGAGAGAGAGAGAGAGAGAGAGAGAGAAAGAAAGAAATTGTGTTCACAAAGAATACGCATGTTTTGATTTTTGTGACTACTTTATAACATATGTAGCAGCTTATATAATGATAAAATCATGTGTTGCAGATAAAAAATAAAAATAAACAAACGCACAGAAATACACAGAAGTCTCAGAACACGTGCTACTAACTTCTAGGGCACGTAGCGGTTAACGTGAAAACTTTTAGTGGTAGTTTAGTTCAGATAAAATGTAGTGAGAAATTGCAAAACGAAGTGCCGCTTATCGTGCACCGTGCTGTTGACTAGCACGCTACTCATCGTGCACCGTTGCTTAGCAGGTACATATTCACAGCAGCAGAGGAAGAGATTTTGTGTACCTGCAAAACATAACAACAGATGGAAATGCCTTCCAATATGGGAAGCAATGTTCAAAATTACATAAGAGCAATTTTGTGAGATTCCCCACCGCACGTTCGTTGGTCAAGGGGATCATATTCGGCACGTTACATGCTCTAGATACTAGAAAAACTCAGACACAAGGTAGGAGAGCAAAAGGAAAGGAAAAAATTATGATCGATGATTGGAACAGATTTAACAATTCTATTTTTAAATTCCTTTTTCCGTATTCTAAAAACAGTTATAAGTCTGATGCAAATAACTGATTTGTTCGCTCTTCATAATATTGGTCACAAAACAGTCAATTACTTCAGAAAACTAGTGGTGCTACGGAATGGCGCAGACTTTCCCGTGCTAGTTTTCTACTTTTTTAGGTCTCGGTTAGCTATTCGAACTTGTCACATATTCTTGTCTGCTGCATATTATCGCCGCTCGAAGTACATTTTCTTAATTTTTCGATTTCCTAATTGTGGGGAGAAGTAATAATTTAAGATTATTAAAGAACAGTAAAACCTGGTCCTCAACTTTCTTTCAAAAAATTGGAGCCGTTTTCAAGAAAATGGCAACTGTAAATTTGAAATTTGAAGCTCTTTTTCACAAAAAGCACTTTAACTCACAAATACAATAGTGTTTACAAATTACTGGAAATATGTATATCAACGGCGTGAGAGATCTTTCAAAAATTTTAGAAAAAACAAAAAGCACATCTACATATAAATAGAATAATGTGAACAAATTGCTGTTAATATAAATATTAACGTCATCAAGCCAAAAAAATATATTTTTGTAATTTTTGAAAAAACAAAATAATAGAGCAATATGGCGCTTGTGGCATTTTATAGAGTTCATTTAGAACTATTTTTACCAAACGTTTAAAGAAAAAAAATTGAGTAATTTTTGGAAAATCTTGTTTTCGTAATTTATTTATATTGCACATATTGTATGCAATATTGAGAGGAAACTACTAACATTTTCAAAAAGGTACATGATTTTAGTGAAAGAACTCTCTATGGAGAACACATTTTATTTGTAGGAAAAATCCACCAAACCTATAATATTAAAATTAATAACCACCAACAAATTGCCTTGAACTGCCCATTACAATGTATTCAAATTCTACATCTTTTAAAAATATTTTTAAATTTTATTCTCATTGTATATTTTAATATTATAACTATTGTATATTCTAATTGTAGGTTTTAGTTCTAATTGTTATTATATATTCTAATTATAAAAGCACCCGATAACTATTATGTAGTACGTTATACAAAAATATCTCTCAAAAATTTACAGTCCATTGTAAAAAAAAACAAATTGAAAACCAACTATGAATTTTGTAAAACTTCGTTACGCCGCCTTCATTTGAAACCATTTGCCACAGATATGCGTTTCACCGCTTCACATTGGCACCAACCCACGCCACTGAGCGTGGGAAAGGAAGGATTCTTTAGTCATCGTTGTGGTCGCTGGCGGACGCATAACATTCCGCATTAGCTCATAAGCGCGTCGGAATGGCCTAATGTGAAGGCTGCCATTTAGAACCGTCTGCTGGCGGAGATCCGTCTGCGCTACTGATAACGGGAGTGCGCCACTGACAACCACTGAAGCGCCACTGCGCCGTTCATGTGAACACCACCAATTAAACCAAAGCCCTGCCAGCAGCAGCGCCACTCGAAAGCGTTGCTGGGTGGTCCCGAGTGAAGGGATAGGGTTGATCAAAGTCTGACGTGAGCTCAGCCATTCTGCTTACCGGAAGTGTCCCACACGACGAACCGGACCCGGTGTCCTCCCACGCAGCCCGTACACGTGTACTTCTCGAAGCCTGTGGGCGTGTACACCTGAAACAAACGCCGTTCGTCAGCAACATAACACTAACATAACACAGATACATAAATGTAATTGCACATCTCGGGTCACAACAATTCAGAATCCTAGACGTTTAAACCAAGAGCTCAATAATTATTGCAAGTATGCAACGAGAAATGAGTATGTATTTTTTGTAACTTTCTATTGAGTGCAACTTGTATAATGAAGATTAATATAGCTGATCAGCAATAGTAGCACACTGATCGGCAATAATTGCTGAACATTTAGTAAATCTCACCCTTTAATTTATTTCCGTTGATTTAAACAATATTGAAATCAAATATGAGTACAAAATAAAATTCAAGGCGAGTAGTAACCACAAAATTCACACAAAAGTAGATCCAAATGTAAAGCTGGACGATAAAAAAGATTATAAACAAATAAAAGTGGGTATTACTTTAAAAGTCAAAATGCGCGTATATTACTTTGGTTTAAAAAAAACTGTTTTCCGCCGTTTCGACAGATCAGTCAATGAGAGAAAATACAGGGTTTTAAATATCATACATAAAAATTATTTACATTCATGTGTGCGTTTTGATATTAAAATCGCTCCACTATTTCAAACTACGAAAGCTAAGTTGGTGTATAAATATTTGTTTGTGGAAGAATACCGAAAGCGATTGCATTGCATAAATATAATTGTGTAAATAGGAGCAATATAATTGCAATCTAAGTTCTGTTATTATTTAGAAACATGAATAAACCACCCCGTATGGCAATACCCGTAAGCGTAGGTTTACTATGCCCCTCCCCCCCAAAAAAAATTCCAAATTTTTCATAATTTTTCTAGAATTGAGCAAAGGCTTAAAATGTTACATGTACGATTTTCAATTAAAGCTAGCAAAATGTTAATGACATTAACGTTATTTAAAAAAAATACTTTCCATGCAAAAATTATATTGCATAGAAATATTTAAATTGCAGAAACATATAAACACTCCAGACACATGGAAAATGTTTATTATTTACAAAAGAAATAAATATATTTGTTCACAAAGAATTAACACAAAATTAAACTAGTGGTGCTACAGAATGGCTCAAACTTTCCCGTATTAGTTTTCAATTTCCTTTGGTTTCAGCTAGATATAGGAAATTGCCTCATTTTCTTGCCAGCTGCCATTTATCGCCGCCCCAAGTATATTTTTTTGTTGAAAAGTTTTTAATTTTAAGGTTTCCTAATAATAGAATGGAAATATTGTTTTATGGCAATTTTCTTTGCAAATTTGGAGTCGTGTTTACGAAAATTCGAAATTTTAAGCTCTTTTCCACAGAACATTTTCAAGTTTTCGAAAACTTCATTTGAAGTACTTATTTTACAAATACTACAGTGTTTACAAATTGCTGAAAATGTGCATATTACCCAGAGATATTTAAAAAAATACATTTCTTGTAATTCATTAAAAAAGCAAAAAAATCCCTGAAATGAACTTTACCTCATATTATAGAGTACAATTAACACTATCCCTTCGAAATGTCTGAAAAAAAAATTGTAGCAATTATTGAGGAAATGACGTTTGAAGGTCCTCAAAATGGGGAATCTTGAGCTGGTTTTCATGGAAAACGGTTGAGTTTTCGAAAAACTTTGGGTTGATTGTGAAAAATCCTACGCATGGTTTAGTCGCTAGTAGTGATCACAGACACCAGACAGATGTGACATTATTTAAAGCACTTATACTTATCAATATAATAATGTGAACGAATTGCCGGTAATATAAATATTAACGACGTGAGAGACAAGTAGAAAAATTACATTTTTGAAATTTTTGAAAAAACAAACGAAAAACCAATATGGGGTCTCTGTCATTTTATAGACTACATTTGGCTCTATCCCTAGTAAAAGTTGAAAGAAAAAAATTGTAGCCGTTTTTGAGAAAACCTGCTTTTGTATTTTTTTTAAATTGCAAACGTTGCACGTAATATTGCGCGAAAACTACTAAACGTTTCAAAGGAATATATATGACGTTATTGAAAGAACTAATTATGGACAACACATTTAATTTGAAGGAAAAATCTCTTTCTTCAATTTTGTAGTTGTAGGAAGACGCCGAAAAAATGCAGAGTTAACAGTGAAAATCGGACCTGTGCCAGTTTTATAAGTGTATATTACTCTATTCTTTCTCGAAATTTAAAGAAAAAAATTGGTGCCGTTATTGAGAAAAAAATTGAACATATTAAGCTTGATGTAAAGTATCCCCAATTTTTTTTTTTTTTTTTTTTTTTTTTTTGTTTTGTTTTTTTTGTTTTTGTTATTCTCAAAGCGTTGACTCGAGCCAGTGTAGTAGGCGCTCGTGGTGTTCACAGACACCAGACGACGAAAGGACAGGCGGACGTTTTGCCGTCAATT